ATGCCAGAGGCCCTGGGTTCGATTCCTCAGTACCACATAAGCAAAAAGAAAAAAGCCGGAAGTGGCGCTGTGGCTCAAGTGGTAGAGTGCTAGCCTTAAGCTGAAGAGCTGAGGGACAGCGCCCAGGCCCAGAGTTCAGGCCCCATGACCAGACCCAAAAAAAAAAGAAAAAAAGAAAAAAGCCAGAAGTGGCGCTGTGGTTAAGTGGTAGAGTGCTAGCCTTGAGCTGAAGAGCTGAGGGACAGCGCCCAGGCCTAGAGTTCAGGCCCCAAGACTAGACCCAAAAAAAACCAACAACAAAAAAGATTATTTTTCAAAGAGGACAAACAAATGACCAAGAAATATATGAAAAGATACTGAATATCACTAATTGTTCAAAGAAATCCTAATCAAAACCACAGCGAATTATCATTCCATGTCCATTAGCCTGCCTACTGTCAAACTGAGTATAGTGGCCTAGGTCTGTAATCCCACCACTCGGCTGAGGCAGGAGAATTGAGAGTTGAAGCCACCCTTGGTTACATAGCAAAACCTTGTCTCAAAGACAGAAAACAGGGGCTGGGAAGGTGGCTCAGTGGTAGAACGCTTGCCTTGCATGCACGAGACCCTGGGTTCGATTCCTCAGTACCACATAAGCAAAAAGAAAAAAAGCCGAAAGTGGTGCTGTGGCTCAAGTGGTAGAGCGCTAGCCTTGAGCTGAAATGCTGAGGGACAGCACCCAGGCCCAGAGTTCAGGCCTCAAGACCTGACTCAAAAAAATAAAAAAAAGGATCAAAGACAGAAAACAAAAAGATGGCTACTGTTAAAACAAACAAACAAAGACAAAATAAGAGCTGGCATGGATATAAAGCAAAAAAAAAAAATGTTTAAAACCCTTGTGCATGACTGTTGGTGAAATACAAAATAGCACAGCTGCTATGGAAAACAGTGTGGTAGATTTCTTTAAATTTAAAGTAGGGGCTGGGAAGGTGGCTCAGTGGTAGAGTGTTTGCCTTGCATGCCTGAGGCCCTGGGTTCGATTCCTCAGCACCACATAAGCAAAAAGAAAAAAGCTGGAAGTGGCACTGTGGCTCAAGTGGGAGAGTGCTAGCCTTGAGCTGAAGAGCTGAGAGACAGCGCTCAAGCCCAGAATTCAGCACTTAAGCCCAGAATTCAGGCCCCAGGACCGGACCGCCCCCCCCCAAAAAAAATAAATAAAATTTAAAGTAATAGGGCTGGGAAGGTGGCTCAGGGGTAGAGTGCTTGTCTTGCATGCGTGAGGCCCTGGGTTCAATTCCTAAGGACCACATAAGCAGAAAAAGCTGGAAGTGGCACTGTGGCTCAAGTGGTAGAGCGCTAGCCTTGAGCTGAAGAGCTAAGGGACAGTGCCCAGGCCTAGAGTTCAAGCCCATGATCAACAAATTATCTAGCAGCATTATTCTTAGTTATATACCTAAAAGAATTAAAGGAAAAGTATCAGAGATATTGTATATCCATGTTCATAAAAGGATTATTTTTGCAACTGCTGAATGGTGTCCACTAACAGAAAATGAATAAATAAAATATATATCCAATGAAATACCATTTGGTCTTCAAAAGGAAGGAAAATCCAACATATGCTACAACATGGCAAAAGCTTGAAGACATTATATTAAGTGAAGCCAGCCATACACAAAAAGACAAAATGCATGATTTTACATAAATGAGGTACCTAAAGAAATCAAATTTAAAGACAGAAAGGAGAACAGTCATTGCCAGAGGCTGAGAAGAGGGAGCTATAAGAAGTTATTTAATAAGTACTGTATTAAGTTTCAGCTTGCAAGATACAAAATAAAATCAGGTATGAGGATTGTTAATGATGTTGGTGATCATATATGTAACAATGAGAATATACTTAATACTGCTGAGTGGGTACCTTGAAATGGTTAAAATGGACGTTTGTTTACATGTATTATGTCACAATTTTTTTTAATGGTATTGGGGTTGGAACTCAGGATGCTGCGCTGCTAGGCAGTTTTCTCTACTACTTGAGCCATGTCACAGCCTCATAATTTTTTTTTTTTTTTGGTTGTGGGGCCTGAACTCTGGGCCTGGGCGCTGTCCCTCAGCTCTTCAGCTCAAGGCTAGCCCTCTACCACTTGAGCCACAATGCAACTTCTGGTGTTTTATTGGAGATAAGGGTCTCACGGACTTTCCTGCCTGGACTGGCTTTGAACCGTGATCCTCAGATCTCAGCCTCCTGAGTAGGTAAGATTGCTGGCGTGAGCCATTGGTACCTGGCTAATAATTTTTTTTTTTTTTGGGTCCAGTTGTGGGGCCTGAACTCTGGGCCTGGACGCTGTCCCTCAGCTCTTCAGCTCAAGGCTAGTGCTCTACCATTAGAGCCACAGCACCACTTCCGGCCTTTTTCTTTTTGCTTATGTGGTGCTGAGGAATCGAACCCAGGGCCTCATGCATGCAAAGCAAGCACTCTACCACTGAGCCACCTTCCCAGCCCCTAATAATTTTTTTTTTTAAGTACTGCCTCTTAACAATAAGGAGAAAAAGCGTATTTTCATAGAAGAAACAACTTCACCAAGCAATCAAAGTTAATATTGATGGAAGAAGTACAAATATTATGCTCTGATAAGGGAAGAACATGTATATAAATCCTTGCCACATATACCTAAGTAAATATAATGTAAATGTAAATTAAATGTAATTAATAGAGATTCTACAAAATAACTTGTCTATGAGTCAATCTTCAATGTAAACAGCATGAAATAAAAAAATAAAAGTAAAGGAAGAAAAAAGGTTGGGGCACTGTTCTTTAATGATGGATAAAAGGATATGATGTCTGTATCCTACCTGAACTGGATACTGTCGTAGAGTGTGAGGAGAGGAGATGCTAAACATCATCACTGAAACAACGGAATAAACTGGGATATGGATTATTGATCAAAAGCAAGTACCACATTAATGTTAAATTTAATGAAGTTGGGTAGGTGCTAGTGGTTTATGTCTGTAATCCTAGCTACTCAGGAGGCTGAGGTCTGAGGATGGCAGTTCGAAGCCAGCCTTATCTCAAATTAACCACTCAGAAACCAGAAGTGGTGCTGTGGTTCAAGTGGTACAGTGCTTGCCTTGAGAACAGAGGTTCAGGGACAGTGCCCAGGCCATGAGTTCAAGCCCTACAACCTCCTTCCCCCCCAAACACAAAATTTTAATGAAGTTGGAAACTATACTTTGGTTTTTAATCCTTATTCTTAGAAAATAAACATTAAAATATTGAACATTACAAGGACATGATATATACAACTAAATTGTGAATGGTCCTGGAAAAAAAATGAACATGTATATACGTCTCTATATATAGTTATAACTAAAAAGAGAATAAGGCTAAAGATGTGGCGCATGAGGCACTGAGTCCATACCCCAGTACCCCTCCTACACAAAAGAGAAAGGGAAAAAAGAGAGAGAGAGAAAGGGGAGGAGGAAGGAATAAACAAATGTGAGCAAGAGCAAAATAGAGGAAGAAAATTATAAAACTAAGGAGGTTGGTGATCTGAGTAAGGGGCATATATATCAGAGCTCCCTTATACGGAATTCTTACTTTTCTGGAAATCTGAAAATATTTTAACATAAAAAGTTAAGAAGATAAGTGATATTATATATTTATTCAAATAGATTTCAAAATGATAGTAAATTTAATAGGAGACATGGTAAAATTATAGCTTTATAATAACAAAATGCACATCTTACCCCACTTGTTGCCACAGGAAGTGGATTGGCTGTGTAAAGGCTTCTCTTTCCATCATAAACTGGTCTACGGTCTCCAAATATAGTGACTTTAAAATGCTGAACCATTGAGTCAACTACCTCTCTAAAGAAGGGGAAAAATTAATTAATATAATTCTCTGTAAAATGAAATGCAAAAATATTAACTAAAATAATGTATGACACAGTTTAAAAATGCTAAAGGAGCAACAAAGAATTTGCTTTTAGAATCAATACTTAGGATAACCAAAGGATTGATTGCTGGCAGAGTGTAACATGTATAACATGGAGAAGAATGAATCTAGTAAATTACTTAATCATTCTGAGACATAGAAACTACTTAAAATCTCTTTCATCTTCATTATGCCCTTCCTAACACATTCATCTCTTTCTTAAAGAATAAGATGCCCTTTGTACTATGCTGAAATAGCAACTATTAGAAACCCCTAATCTATTATTATAATTATTGTTCTTACCATGAGCCTGTTTTTATTGGGTATGTGAGGGATGGTCAGTGCTGGGGTTGAACTCAAGGCCTTCTGCTTGTGAGGAAAGTGCTCTACCACTTGAGTCACTCTAACAGCACTTTATGTTTTGTTGTTTCTGCTGTTCTTGTGGGGCTTGAACAAAGGGCCTGGGTGCTATTTTTGAACTCTTTTGCTCAAGGCCAATGCTTTACCACTTTGAGCCACAGTGCTACTTCCAGTTTTCTGGTAGTTAACTGGATATAAGAGTCTCACACTTTCTTCCCTGGGCTGGCTTTAAACTGCAATCTTCAGATCTCAGCCTCCTGAGTAGCTAGGATTATAGGAAGGAGCCATAAGCTCCTTGCATATGTTGGTTATTTTTGACATTTTATTTATTTTTGTGCTGGTTCTAATGCTTGAACCTAGAGCCTCAGAGAAAGATTGGTTTTTTTCACTCATGGCTGACACTCTAACACTTGAGTTACACTTCCAGTCCTGTGTTGGGTATTTTTAAGATAGGGTCTGGCTTTTACATCCTCACCAACCTGTACTGGGATCTTCTTATTTTTGCTTCACTGGGATGACAGGAATGGCTGTTGTGCTTCTCTTGAATTTGCAATAGGTGCATACTACTACTGAACCCAGGCATAGGCTGAGATGTAGTTTCACTAACTTTTTTTGTTTTTTTTTTTTGGTCCAGGCTGGCCTGAAACCATAATTCCCCAATCTCTGACTCCCAAGTAGCTAGGATTATAAGCTTGAACCACCATACTCTGCACTGAGAACTTCTTGTAAGCAACAATTGCCCTTCTATTCCTCTTAACCTCACAGAAGTATCTAGTAAGGATACTACGATACCTCCATTTTCAGCCAGTATTTTAGTTTAATACATTGACAAGGAAAGATGTTTGATATACTTTTTTTTTTAAGTTACCGACCAAGATGGGCATTGGTGGCTCTTATCTACTCGGGAGGCTAAGATCTGAGGATCACAGTTGGAAGCCAGCCTGGGCAGGACAGACTGTCAGACTCTTATCTCCAATTAACTACCCTAAGTCTGGAAGTAGAGTTGTGGCTCAAAGTGGTAGATAGTTAGCCTTGAGTGAAAAAGCTCAGGGATAGTGGCTGGGAATGTGGCCTTGTGGTAGAGTGCTTGCCTAGTATGTGTGAAGCCCTGAGTTCAATTCCTCAGTACCACATAAACAGAAAAAGCCGGAAGTCACACTGTGGCTCAAGTGGCAGAGTACTAGTCTTGAGCAAAAAAGATGCTCAAGGCCTTGAGGGCAAGCCTGATGATCGACACACAAACACATACACACAAAGTTACAAACCACAGAAAATGAATGTAAATATTCACAAATCATTATTTATTTTTGTACACTCATATTCACAAAAACAGTGAAAATGTATCTGAAAGGATATATACAAAGAGATATATATAACTAGAGAAGGGAGCAACAGGATCACAGGATAATTTTTATTTTGTTTACACAATGTGTATTCAAGTGAAGCATACTCACAAACTATTGGTATAATTTTACATAAAATTAAAAGTTTTAAATCTAGCTTAGTAGCAAGCAATCACTAGCAAGTAGTGATTATAGAGACAGAGCAACAAGCACTTCCCAGAACAACAAAATCAAGCTGATTTGATTTTCAGAAGGATTTTCTACATACTACAAATTTCTTTTCCCCTTTCCAATTTTGTTTTACTGGAAATATTTAAGGCAATAGCCAGTCTTTCAAAAGTAATTTTGACAGCAAAGATCTGATTCATTCATGCAAACTTTCTCACCATGACTTTCACAGAGTACAATCACTCTCAAAATAAAATTATCAGCTTAACTGGTATGGTAGAAAATCAGTTGTGAGAAAGGAAGACAAGGGAGAGTAGGAGACCTAAATTCAAGCCTTGGTACCATGACAAATACAAAAATTATCATGTGTTCTAGGTCAAACTATTAGTTATTATCATTGTTATTTAGACATACACAGTAAAAGGCTGGGAAGGTGGCTCAGTGGTAGAACGCTTGCCTTGCATGCATGAGGCCCTGGGTTCGATTCCTCAGCACCACATAAGCAAAAAGAAAAAAGCCAGAAGTGGCATTGTGGTTCAAGTGGTAGAGCGCTAGCCTTGAGCTGAAGAGCTGAGGGACAGCGCCCAGGCCCAGAGTTCAGGCCCCACGACCGGACCCAAAAAAAAAAAAAAAAAAGACATACAGTAAAAAGAAATAATTATTAACTACAAATAGCAAAAGAACACCATGACTTCTTACCTATTCACTCTCCTAGGACATTTATCTGGTTTAATATCTACCTCATAGAGGTAGACATCAATCTTTGGGATTTCAACTTGAAAACAGTTAGCCAGTAGTTTGATGGGTTTGCCCATGGTGCCATAGCCAGGTCTTCTGGGCACCATGAGTAGGGGCTGGGCCCCAACAGGTCCTGCCAAAGAGGGGAAAAAAATGTTTCACAGTTACAAATTGCACTGGATATAATCTTGAAAAAGAGAGTATATGAGAATTGCAAGAATAACACATAATGTTAAAGCCAAGTGTTGAAAAATGACACTGTTCTTAGAACATCAACTTAAAAAACTGTAAATAATTTCTTGCTATTGTACAGTAAACAGTCTATTCTACACATAGGCAACTCCACAGTTGCCTATGTGTATATTCTAGAGTAGGTCATATTTCAGACTACAATTTATCATTTGACCTTCATCAAATACTTATCTCTGAGTTAGTTTTCTGACCTAGCAAATAGGTGTAATAACTGACCCGCCTTTTTTTCTTATAACCTTATCAGGATCAAATTAGATAACATGCACTAGATAAAATTTAGCAAGCTCCTTACTAAGTCCTGAACAATATACAAATGCTTCACATACATTAGGTCATTTAATTTTTAAACCAACCTTACAAATTTGAGATCAATTTTCACGTTCTATTTTGCACAAATAATGTGTTCAAAAATGTACTGATAGCTGGACTCTGGTGGCTCATGCCTGTAATCCTAGCTACTCAGGAAGCTGAGATCTGAGGATTAAGGTTCAAAGCCAGCCTAAGCAGAAAAGTACGCATGAGATTTATCTCCAATTAACCACTCAAAAAACAGAAGTGACGGGCTCAGAAGGTGGCTCAGTGGTAGTGATTGCCTCCCATGCATGAGGCCCTGGGTTCAATTCCTCAGCACCACTTAAGCAGAAAAAGCCAGAAGTGGCGCTGTAGCTCAAGTGGTAGAGCACTAGCCTTGAGCCGAAGAGCTGAGGGACAGCACCCAGGCTTAGAGTTCAGGCCCCACAACCAACCAAAAAAAAAAAAAAACCCCAAAAACCCAAAAGTGATGCTGTGACTCAAAGTGGTAGAGCACTAGCTTTGAGCAAAGGAGCTCAAGGACAGCACCCAGACCCTGAGTTCAAGCCTTATGACCAACAGAAAAAAAAGTATGTTGTTAGTAAGTAACAGAGTTAGAATTATAACCTACTATACTGAACTCTATATTGCCTCATTCTTTTTACTCAAACTGACAAAGACTAGAATTCTGTTCCATAAGTAAGCAATGCAAAGAACTATATGGTAACTAATGGGAGAAACAGTTCTGTCAATACATTATGCTTCCAATGACGCACGTTTTACTTATTTAGCACACGTGTGCATGCACGCACAAACACGCATGCACACACGCGCGCACACACACACACACACACACAAATTGAAAATATCTTGCTGTGTGCCAGTGGCTCATGCTTGTAATCCTAGCCAGGAGGCTGAGATCTGAGGATCACAGTTCAGAAGCAAACCTGGGCAGGAGGAAAGTCCAAGAGACTCTTATCTCCAATTAACCAGAAGTGGAACTGTGGCTCAAGTGGAAGAGTACTAGCCTTGAGCAAAGGAAGAAAAAAAAAAAAGCTCAGGAACAGAGCCTAAGCCCAGAGTTCAAGTCCTAAGATCTGCCAAAAAAAATAATAATAATGTTCTTACAGAAAAAGACATAACACTAGCAAGAATTTCTATCTTAATCCTGTTATCCTAGCTACTCAGAAGGCTGAAATCTCAGAATTACAGTTCCTAGCCAGCAGGGGCAGCAAAGTCTTGAGAGTCTTAAGAGTCATGAGACTCTTATCTGCAATTAACCACCAGAAAACTAGAAGTAGTCCTATGATTCAAAGTAGAGCATTAGCCTTGAATAAAAAAACCCTCAAGAACAGTGCCCAGGCCCTCAGTTCAAGCCCCAGGAATGAATATATATATATATATA